TTTAATTATTAAATATTTAAAAATATTTTTAAAATTATTAAATATTATCTAATATTAATTTTTAAAATTATTAAATATTTAAAAATTAGCTAATATTTATTTTTAAAAAATTTAATTTAAAAATCTCAACATATAAATGTATTTTTAAGATCAATTTTATCATGATAGAATCAAATTATTATATCCAACCTAACAATTTAAAATTTGAGAAATTTAAATTGACTTATCAAAACAAAATATTTTAAGAATGATAGAAATTGAAATCAAAGTAATTCAAATACCAAGAATTTAAAATTCCTTGAATTTGTAAAATTCTTTATCCAAACACACTATAAATGATCACTAAAGTATAAGTTATGTAATAAATTTACAAATATAATAAATCAAAATGTAAACATGACTAGTATATAAATTTATAAATAAAAATATAAAATTCAATTTTAATATTTTAAATATTTTCCCTTTATTTTATTAAATTTTATCGATTTATAAATATCTTTAATTTAAGTATAGGATAAAACTATTATCCTAAGTATCAATAACCATTATATCAAAGTCCAAAATTGATAACTAGCGAGTAATAACCTAATGTTTAGAAATGGGGACTTTAAAAAGAGTTATCTTTTCTATTTAGCAACCTACCCATGTATAAATAGTTCAATCAAAAGTAGGGTTCAATAGTTGGAAGAACACTATATATGGCATGATGTCTGATGCACCCTGACAATCCTTAAAAACATTATTAACAAATACTTCTACAATTATTCGTCTTTTTAAATCCAAAAATTTAATGTGATTATGAAATATAAATATCTCAATTCTTCCCGTTAATCATTACTCCAATTCAAGGCGAACACAATAAGATGAAAATCTTGTGGTGTTATATTCCAACCGAATTATTTGTCCCAGAAAGTTTTAAAACATTATTATTACTTTTAACATTAGTTGTGCCTCATTTATGGGCTTGTGAGTTCTTCCCATACAATTCGGCCCAACAGTCTATATTGGTAATCCAAGTAAATATTTTTGGCAGATGATTAACACACCTCCACTCTCGTATAAACACATCCCCTTTTTAAAAAAAAATATATAAAATGTCTAAATTACTCTTAAAAAAAAATTCCTAAACTTACACCTCCCTTTCCCGTACTCCCGTTCCCCGCACCCCGCACCCCACACCCCCTTCCCCGCACCCCCACACCCCCACACCCCCCTTCCACTACAAAAAATGTGTGATTTGTGAAACGTAAACACACATTTTTTAACCGCCAACCGCCACAAATTGCATCACCCGCCTCATTAATAACCGCCGGATCTACGATTGAAAAAAATCGTTTGTGGCGGACATTTTGTAAATGCTGGCCTTTTTCAAGAAAATTCAATCTCTTTGTGGCGGTTTGAAACTGCCACAAAATGCATTTTTATTTGAACCTTGTTTCTGAATACTTGTGTCAATATTTTTCTTTAGAACTCATTGGCTCTCAAGTATGCTATTTTGCTCCATTCTCTTTGTCTGTCAATCTCTCCCTTTACATTATGCCTTGTTCAATATTCAAATTCAAAAATTTTCATCTTCAACATTGTGATTTATTGTTCCTATTTCATCTTCATAGTCGACCAGTATTGGATGGTGATAACTGGTAGCGAGGTCATGCTGCAGCTTTTCTAAAGTACGTCAATTTGCCTCCAGAAGTGCTTAGACATGGGCGAGTCAGCCAGGTTAGAGAATTTAAATATTTGATTGTTCTTTGCAATGCTTTGGTGATAGGACACAAGGATTACCATACAAAAATGTGAAATAATAAAATTCTGCACAAAATCTCGTGAAGTTTTACAAAATCGAAGAGGGGCTTGAATATCAGTAATAATAAATAACATTGCTTAAATGATGTTGCCATCATTTATGTTTAAATTTTATTGAAGGGAGCTCATCATCAACAACAAAATAAAAACTCACATAAAACAAAAGGAAGATGTCACTTACCAACAATAGTATGATTCTTTTGTTTAACGTTGGGCCTTTTATTAAAAACTTAAAATCAAGGACTAACTGCC